CGAAGCCTCGTGGTTGCATCCTTACGTGGCCGCCGTCGAGCCCGAGGCTATCCCCGCGGGCGCTGACCTCCAAGCCATGGGGGCGGGCGCCATCCGTGGCATCGGGCTCGGCTCAAAGATCGAGCACAGGAGGCGCGCGGGCAAGTTGGCCTGCCTTTTCGACCTTCTGTACCACGTGCAGGACGGTCACGGCGCCATCCCAGCAGCGCTGTGGGGATCTCATTCCCCTCCGTCCGAGATCCTCGACGCGTTCGCGGAGGTGGTGCCCGTTCCACATCATTCGGGCCTCACGTCCTCGGCAGCTCGTTCCGAGCTCGCCGAATCGGCCGCAGCTGCGCGCGCCGAGCCGCGCCCGCCCTTTGACTGGGCGACCCTCGAGGGAGGGGGCGCTCTGCCCGCCGAGATCGAAGCAGGGGCTCGCCGTGCTCACCGTAACATGGGCGGATCCTTCACCTCGGCGCGGGCGATGCTGGCGGAGGCGTCGGGGTTCGAGACCGACGGGCGGGACACCCTCGTTCCGCCCTTCTACGCGTCCAGGAGCAGGAGGGCCGCCACGCTGATCAGCTCTCCCAGCCCTGGCCGCCCTGCGCTCATCCTGTGGTGCGTCTGCGGCCTCTGCATCTCTCTGGGAGCCGCGGCGCCGACCGCAGGCCAAGGGCTTAGTCGGGCTGCGCCTTCCGCGCCCGCTCGCCCTCCGCGCACTCCCTTCGTGCGCGATTCTCACCTCACCTCCGCGTATCTCGATCGTCGCTCGAGATCGATTGATGCGTTCGAACTGTGGTTAGCAGAACACACTGGCGTGCCGCCCGCCACTCTTTACCGTAGCGGGCTACTTCTCGCCCGCTTCCTCGCGACCTTCGGCGTGTGGCTTCATGATGCAGGTTTCCCTCATTATATTCTGGTTCATGCCATCTTGGGAATCCAGAGCGCTCATCCGCATTGGAAGGCCTTTCTAACAGAAGCTTGGGACGTAGCGAAACAATGGAAGCTCGCGGAGCCGCCAAAGCTCCGCCCGCCCTTACCTCGCGCTCTGCTGCGCGCTATGGTCGGTCTCTGTTTCGCCTGGGACTGGCCTGTGATGGCGGCCTTGCTGCTCATGGGCTTTACGATGTTCCTCAGGCCTGGCGAGCTGCTGGCGTCACGCCGCTGTGACTTGTCGCTTCCTTGCGACCGCCTCGAAGTTGAAGGGGATGCTTTTCTTTCGATTCTTGTTCCAAAGACCAGGAGAACGTACCCGACGCAGCATGCTCGCTGCTCCGATCGGGGCACGGTGAAGATTCTGAATCAAGTGTTTGGGCGGTTGGCTTCCACCGATCCTCTCGCCCCTTTCGGTGCGAGCGGCTTCCGTACTCGGTGGAATCATTTGCTTTCGGCCCTGGGCGTCCCTCTTGCCAAAGCGGGTCAGGGGCTCAACCTGACGCCCGCATGTCTGCGGGGCTCTGGCGCAACAGACTTCTATATCGCTACGGAAGACGTCCCTCGCGTCTTCTGGCGGGGGCGTTGGCGTCAGGCTTCCAGTGCTGAGCGCTACCTGCAAGCCGCCGCCGCTTCCACAGTTCTTGCTGCGCTGCCCGTGCCCGCACGGGCGCGGATCCTGTTCTTCGCCACCGCCAGCGACCGCCTTGTCGCTTCATTTCTCCAAGTCGGCCCCGCCGCTTGGCCTGCCCTACTTGCGGCCGCCCGCCGAAACCTTGTCACTTCGCAAGGTCCTTGAGCACGGGTATGGCTGCCTCGCCGTCGTCGGCGAGCAGGCGGTCTCCCCCGCCTGACGCGCGGCGCCCCGGCACGAGCGCGCGGGACGGGCCTGCCCATTTTGGGCCGCCCCGCGCGCGCGAGCCGCGGCCGCGCTCGGAGACAGCTCGCTAGCGCGCGAGCGGGAGAATGCCTCTTCTATTCTCTGTGAGCAAGCTCCTGCTGTCTCCGCAGCTTCTCTGCCCCCCTCCCTCCTCTCCCAATCTAAGGCTGATGGGCGCTGCCTCGCCGTCGTCGGCGAGCAGGCGGTCTCCCCCGCCTGACGCGCGGCGCCCCGGCACGAGCGCGCGGGACGGGCCTGCCCATTTTGGGCCGCCCCGCGCGCGCGAGCCGCGGCCGCGCTCGGAGACAGCTCGCTAGCGCGCGAGCGGGAGAATATATATATATATAGTCAAATATCCAGTGTTGGTTTGCTCGGCGAATGTACGCGAATACATTGACACTTCCACTTGCATATATACAGATCGAGGCATACGTCGGTATATTTATATTTACATATATATATACATATGTATGTGTGTATGTGGGTGTGTGCGCATTCTGCGCCGAGAGGTGGGGAGAGAAAGAGAGAGAGAGAGAGTGTGTGAGAGAGAGAGAGAGAGAGAGAGAGAGAGAGAGAGAGAGAACAACGCCTTCCGCCTTGTGAATGTCCTGCCCCGCGTGTGTGTGTGTATGTGTGTGTGCGCGTGCGTGGAGGGCGCGGGTGTGACCCTGTGTGTTGCGCGCGGTGGGTTTGTGTGTGGAGAGAGCAAGAGTGTGCCAGAGCAGTCACTACTCTTCCCCGTTAGCTAGCAGCCACCCCCCTCTTCCCAGTCCGATATCTATGTTGTGCGCGTGGAGAGAAGGAGGCAGAAAGAGAGAAATAGAGAGAGAGAGAGAGAGAGAAAGCATTCCCCTTCAGTTTTGTTTCATCTGCGTCGTCCTTGGGGGGTGTGAGGGATATTCGTGTTATTCCCAGTGACCATTTTGTGTTGTGTGTAAGGTGAGAGAGGGAACGAGAGAGAGTGTGAGAGAGATTGCAACCACTGCACTCAGCATTTCCCCATGTTCATTGTGTATTTGCAGAGAGCGACAGGAAGAGAGCGAGAGAGAGAGAATGAAAGAGAGAGAGAGAGAGAGAGAGCAACCGCCTCCCTCCTGGCGAACTACGCAGAACAAACAAAGTGAGGTATGTGAAACGAACTGCGTCACGAGCGATAGAAAGTCAAGAGATCGACGCAGAGAGGGACGAGCAACAGGGATAGAGAGAGAGAGAGAGCAACACTTTCGACATGCATCGTTATCGTTATCATCGTCATCGTTATCGTTCTCACCTTCACCGGTATCATTGCATCATTGTCGTAATCATGTCTGGCCTCATCATCGTTAGCATCGCCAGCGCGACGCGATTGAACACGCCACCAGTGGCTATTTGCAGTAGAAAGGGCGCGAACGTCGAGCAAGGCAGTCGCCCCCCCCTCCCGCCCCCTCGGGGGACAGACTTTCCCGCTGTTTGACGGCCCCAGGGGCCCAGTGAGGGCCTTGCCGCGGCCGGAAACGAGTCGGCGCAGATGTCGTCGCGATCTCCGCGACGCGAGGAGGAGGTCAGGGCCCCTCCTCCGCGCACCCGGGTCTGGCGGGGAGGGGGCGGCGGACCAAGAAGGAGGAAGGGATCGAACCATGTTCGTTTCCGGTTCGTTGTGTTGTTGATGTTGCTGCTGTTGTTGATGCCGTTGTTGTTAATAGTGTCCTTGGTGGTGGTGGTGTTGTTGGTGTTGTTGTGGTGGTAATGGTGGTTGTTGATGTTGTTGGTGTTGTTGTCGGTGTTGTTGCTGTTGTTGAATACTTCTCATTTCTGAAGAATGATTATTGTTGATCCCCCCACCAGTGCATATTGTTTTTCTCAATCGAAGTGTACCCTTCGACGCTCGCACCCTGTTTTTTGACAGGGAATGTCTTGATGTTCAAACTGGGCCCCTGGCCCCCGGGTTACAACAGCAACGGCTCCCGCTTGAGACTTCCTTACAATTTAGCCAGGACCCCCGCTCCCGCCCGAGTTTTTTCTCGCATTTTATTCACGAATCGCGCTGTCGCTTGGAACTTCCTTACAATTTATTCAGGAATCGCTTTCCCGGCGCTCTGGAGTCGCGCTCTCGCTGGAGACTTGCTTGCAACTTACTGAAGAATGGCCTTGTGTTGGAATTGCTTGCAATTTGCCCAAGCGCCGCGCTCCCGACACCCAGGCACCCAGGAGTCGCGCCCGTTGTGGCCCCATGTGCATGCCCTTCGTGGCCCCGCTGTCGCCATTTGTGTCCCCCTCACTGTCCTACGTGGCCCAGTTGCTACCCTCAGTGGCCCCATAGTTGCCTTCTGTGGCCCCGCATGATCTGCACTTCGTGCCCCCCGCTCGTTTGCGCTCTTCGTGGCCCCAAACGCATTCCCTTCGTGTCCCCGCTGTCGCCCTTCGTGGCCTACTTCGTGCCCTTTGTGGCCCTGCTGTCGTTCTCTCTCGCTCTCGCTTTCGCTCGTCGTCGCCGTCGTCGTCGTCGTCGCCGTCGTCTTCGACGTCGTCCTCGTCGTCGTCGTCGTCGTCGCGGTCGGTCCCCTGTCCGTCCCTCTTGGGGTCGGGTCGACGGTCTGCGGCCGCCCCGCCGATCAGCGCTGCCGCTGGCCAGGCCGACGGTCCGCGGCCGCCCCGCCGCTTGCCAGGGCCCGGCCTGCAGGGAAGAAAGGTATACCCCCCAAAAGGGGTTCGATCGAAGACGAAGAGGGCGGGTATCGAGGGTTTGGGAAGTACGCGTTATTGGCCATTCGAGCATATAAGGGCGAACAGTATGAAACTTATTGTTGTTGTTGTTCGTGATGGTGTTGTTGCTGCTGTTGTTGTTGTTGGTACTGTTGTTGGTGTTGTTGTTGTGGGTGTGGGTGTGGGTGTGGGTGTGGGTGTGGGTGTGGGTGTGGGTGTGGGTGTGGGTGTGGGTGTGTGTGTTGTTGGTGGTGTTGTTGGTGGTGTTGTGTTGAGGGGGAGACGGGGAGGACGAGAGAGAACAAGTTGGAGGAGGAGGAGGAGGAGGGGGAGGAGAAGTGAGACCGAGATGGAGGAGGAGGAGGAGGAGGGGGAGGAGGAGCAGGGGTGGACATGGCGAGGGGGACCTCGGCGGCCGCGAGGGGGCGTGGCCGCGCGGGAGCCCGCGGCGCCTGGCCCACGCGCCCACGCGCCGCGTCGGCCCGCCCCCGAGGCCCGGTCGCACCGGCTGAACGTCTCGGAGATGTCGATGAAGGTGGGCTGCCTCGCCCCGCCCCTGCTCCGCGGTTCGGGCGATGCGCTCGGGCGTCTCCTCCTGTCTCCTCCTCCCGTGCCCCTCCCCCCTCCTCCTCCCTCCCCCTCCTCCTCCCAGCCCCCTCCTGCTCCTCGGGCGCCTCCTCCCCCTCCTCCCGTCCCCCTTACCCCTCCTCCCACCTCCTCCCATCCCCGTCCTCTCATCCCTCTCCTCCTGCCCTCCTCCCATCCCCCTCCCCCTCCTCCCACTCCCCCTCCTCCTCCTCCGCCCTCCTCCCCCTCCTCCTCCTCTTCCTCCTCCTCTTCCTCCTCCTCCTCCTCCTCTTCCTCCTCCTCCTCCTCCCACCTCCTTCCATCCCCCTCCTCCTCCCATCCCCCTCCTCCTCCCACTCCTCCCATCCCTCTCCTCCTCCTTCTTCTCGTCCTCCTCCTCCTCTCCCTCCTCCTCCTCCTCCTCCTCCTCCTCCTCCTCCTCCTCCTCCTCCTTCTCCTTCTCCTCCTCCCTCCTCCTCCTCGTCATCTTCCTCCTCTCATCCTCCCTCCACCCCCCCTCATGAGACCCCCTGAGGCGGTCCTGATTTCATCGGGAGCCAAGCTGCAAAAGTACATGTCGTCGGATGTCTGGATGTTTCTCGTCCCCCACCTCCGACTCCCCCTCGTCCCCCGCACTCCCCCTCGCGATCCTCCGCCCCCTGTGTCTGCCGAGGCTCGTGCTCCTCCCGCGACCGCGGCGGCCGAGTGGAGAGGCCAGGCGATCGGCCCCCTCATCCTGCCATCTCGCGCGCCCTCGCCCCTTCTCCCCTTCCAGCTCCCTTCCTCTTCCCCCCCTGCCCGTGGAGAGGCCAGGCGATCGGCCCCCTCATCCTGCCATCTCGCGCGCCCTCGCCTCTTCTCCCCTTCCAGCTCCCTTCCTCTTCCCCCCCTGCCCTCTCCTCCGCCTCCTCCGCCCTGCCCCGGGGGCCCGGGCTGCCCGAGCTCAACGGGCAGCGCTGGAGGGCGATGGGCTCGGGGTGGGGGCGGGGGGGGGAGTGGCGCGTCGGCCCCGAGGCCCCCGTCGTCTCCAAAAGCAGGGGCACGTGGCCCCCTCCCCGCCCTCCCTCCCTCCCTCCCTCCCTCCCTCCCTCCCTCCCTCTTCTCCTCCTCCTCCTCCTCCTCCTCCTCCTCCTCCTCCTCTCCTCCTCCTCCTCCTCCTCCTCCCTCCTCCTCCTCCTCCTCCTCCTCCTCCTCCTCCTCCTCCTCCTCCTCCTCCTCCTCCTCCTCCTCCTCCACCCCGCCCCAAGAGAGCGTGTGGGTTTCCGCCAGCGGCCGCCGGTCGCCGATCTCTCTCTCTCTCTCTCTCTCTCTCTCTCTGAGGAGGGGAAACAGCACACACAGACACAACGAATCGTCGACTCCCAGGAGGCACAGGAAGACATGGGAAGTCCTCCTCCTCCTCCTCCTCCTCCTCCTCCTCCTCCTCCTCCTCCTCCTTCCTCCCTCTCCCCCTCCCCCTCCTCCTCCTCCTCTTCCTCCTCCTCTTCCTCCTCCTCCTCTCCCTCCTCCTCCTCCTCCCACCTCCTTCCATCCCCCTCCATGGGAAGTGGGGGGGAGGCACAAACCCAGGAAGTATGGGAACATAGGAGGGATCCTGTCATTCGTGTGCATTTCTTTGCGTGTCCCAGGGCCCCTTCACCCTCGGCGGCGGACTGCCCCTTCCAGGCTGATGTCTCCCTCCCTGGAGCTGAGACCCCCCCCCCCGTCGTTCCCCCTCAAGAGCGCGCCGCGGCAGATGCCGAGCGACCCGAGCAGCGCCATCCTTGCCCTCGCGCCGTGAAGGGTCGCTCGGCGACGTCCCCCCGCCCTCTTCGAGGTCCCCGCTCCTCCACGAGTGCACAGTCTGAAGACTAGTCTCTCCTCTCTCCCCCAAAGACCCCGAGGTCGTGGCCTGCCCTCCTCCGCGCTGTTTTCAATACATCGGATACTCCACACGTGATCGGTTATATGTTGCTTCTCCACTCCGAGCGCCTTTGGTGTTTCCAAAATGGTGCTCCCGCTACAGAGTTTGCTCCATTTTCTGATTCTTGGTCCTTTCTCCAATCATACTCCTGCTGCAGCCCTGACCTCCTGTCTTTGTTGCGGATCTTCCAAATCGTGTTCCAGCTACAGCGGTGTGGCTCTCACTGTACGCTTCCGCTCTTTCCGAACCGTTACTTGACATTGTTCGTTATGCGCCATGTCTGGTTTCCCTCGGAACCTGTTGTCTGAATGAGTCATGTCCTCGACCGGCGTCGGCTCTCTTTTTGCGCTGCCGGTGCGTCGACATCGTCCATTCCCTTCCGTCCTGCGTCCTGCCTCGCAGGCCTAGAGGTTGACACCAACACCAATTTCGGCGGTGTGCCTCCACCGAGGGAAGAAGATCCCAATCTCGGTGATGGTGGTAATATTTTGGCTTCCAAGGTGGCCGAAATATTACCACCAACACCGAAATCGAGGATCATCTTCCCCCTGTGAAGGCAACCCCCTGTGTTGGTGTTGGTGCCCATTTCCAGGCCTCCAACTGTCTGCTGTCCCTCAGGCCCTAAATGTCGAACCGGAGTCGTGCCCTGGGCCCGACGGCGCAATCTGCCGTGCTCTGCTGCGCCGTGGCACGCCGTGCACTACACGTGCATCTCGTGCCCTCCCCGGACCATTGCCCGGCTCGACATGCGGCCGCGCGACTGGAGAGGATATTTGTGCCATTCGGGGGTGGACAGAACCCCCAACAGTGACACGTCGATTCGTGAATTGTCCGTTTTCGGTGCTCGAGAGGGCGCCGTGGCCGTTATGTTCCAGGCTTGCGCCGCCAGGTTTGGGCCTCAGGTCGTTTTCGCTACACCACGTTTTACTAAAGGGGGGTCTGTCCATCCCCGAGCCATGGCAAGGGATGGAAGGGGCAGGACGTCACACAGGACGCTTGCGCACCCAGCTTGTCCTCTTCCCCTCTCCCCCCTCCCCATCCTGCTTCGCCTCCACTCTCGTCGCGGAGCCGCCCCGCCCCATTCCCCCAGACTCGGGTGCGGCGAGGAGGGGCCTCCGGAGGTTGATAGACCTCCTACCCTGACACGTCGATTAGTGAACGGGCCGTTCTCGGTTCGCGAGGGGGCGACGCGGCCGTCATTTCCTGCGGGTCCAAGTCCGTCGGTTTCGGTCCCAGTCCGCTTTCACTAAAGGGTGGTTTACTAAAGGGAGGTTCGTCCACCGCCGAAGCAGGGGCCTTGACCGCCTTCGGCCGCCAGCCTCGGGTTCCACACTGGGCCCCTCGGGCCGCCCGCAAACCGGTCCGGATGAGCAGCTTCGGGGGCGGCCAAGAGGGGGATGATGAGCAAGGGGGGTTGACATCATGGCGTGGGCCATTGCCCCAGACTTCATGGCGCCTCTTCTTAATTCATGGCGTCCCTGGCCCCCCCCTTGGGCCGCGCGCATGCCGCCGGCCATGATTCGCGCCCCCCCCCTCTTGGGCGCCCCCCTCTTGGCCGCCCCCGACAGCTGGCCCCCACGGGATCCGGGGCCCCCAAACTGCGCGGTGGCCACACTGCGTGGCAAGGCAGCTGGTACTCGGGGTGGCCGCGCGGTTTGGGGATTTGTGTCGCTCTCCAGGGATGTCCTTCGGGCGGGGTCTCGGGGAGATGGCGCGGACCGCCAACCATGTCACGTGCCTTGCCACTACGGGCCAGCGGGGGCCAGCATGTGTTGGAGGGCTCTGCGTTTTCGGGGGCGCGTAATGCGGAGGCGACAGATGGGGGGCGGGGGGGGGGCAGCGAGGGCTGCAGAAAAGGGGCCCGTTAGGGGCCCGAAAAGGCTACCTGTTCTTCCCCTCCGTGTGTCGCCCTCCATGCATTCGCGCCCAATGCTTGTGGCGTTATGTGATTCTTGGCATTGCGTCCGCACCACCATCACACGGTTCTTCTCCCCCGCCCGCTTCATTTCACCCCTTTTGCCCTTGTCAACAGCCGTTGGTCAGCGGCGTTTTCACCCTTCACGTTTTGAGTTTGAGCGTCTCATCTGGGATAAGAGTTCGCCATGTTCAGGTGCAAGACCTGGAGTCGAAGCACAAGGTCCGCGCCATCCGAGATTTTCCGCTCAGTTGGATGAGCATGAGGAGTTGGAGAGCATGAGGACCAGGAATACCAGGAGGAGGAGGAGGAAATTGCAATATCCCCCGCTCAAGCACGCATCCAGCAAATTCTTCGGTGGTCACTCTGCAATAACGCCCTGCCACACGTAGGTTGCGCTCTTCTCGCAACGCATTATGTAGACATCCAGATCGACGACCGCACTGCCCGGCTCCTCTTTGTTGACATGTCATTGAAGCAGTGTCGGTCTGGTGAGAGGTGGTTGCGAACCAGAGCGGCGCGTGCAGGTCGTAGCGTATAGTTAGCCTTAGTTGGCACCACCACTCCAGAGAGACTAGCGGTCTCACATGAGTGCAGCGCCTGACTGTGCTGCAAGTGTTCTTTCTTTGTTCGAGGGACAATGGGGTTGGTTCCGAAGGCCAGGTCGGGAGAGCTCGTTCGCAGGCACCGTGCGGAGAGAGAGGGAGGAGGTTGGGAGGGAGCAGAAACACTCAGACACTAATAATCGCGGATTCCCTGGAACATATGGTAGCTAGAGGAAGTGGAGGGGTAAGACGAAGATCAGGAAATGTGGCACATTTTTGGAATCCTGTCGTCGCCCGTCATCGTCCTCTTCCACACCCCGCGCGCCGTCGCGGGGAGGCTCCGCACGAGCGGTGGGGCAGGCAGCGTGGCAACTCCTCCTCCCCCTCGTGGATGCCCTCCTCCTCGCTCCTCCTCCTCCGCCTCCCTCCCTCCCCCTCCTTCGAGGGAGGGAAGTCACCCAGACCGGACAGCCGGCGTCTACTAAACCGCCTTGGGCGTCTGCGAAACAGCCCTGCCCTGTTTGATTCTTCCTTTGGGTGCGTTTACTGCGTGTCGGGGCGGTTCCTAGCGGGGTGGATGTTCTGCCCTCTACTCCTCCCCCTCCTCGTGCCGGCTCCTCCTCCTCCTCCTCCTCCTCCTCCTCGCTCCTCCTCGCTCGCCTCCCCCTCGGGGATGCCCTCCTCATCCCGGCTCCTCCTCCTCCGCCTCCTCCTCCGCCGTCTTTCCCCCCTCCTCCTCCCGGCTCCTCCTCGCTCCTCCTCGCTCATGCCCTCTCTCTCTCTCTCTCCACAATTACTCAATATGAATACTACTCTCCCTCTTCCCCTGATGACGTGCTGGGAGTGTTCGCCCCCCCCCCCCCCGCGTCTTGCTTTTTTATACACAGGATTCCCGGGAGTTGTGTTTTCGCTTGCATTTTTTTTCAAAATGCTGCTCTCGCTGAGGCGCGGGCCTCATTTTCGGGCCCCGCTCGTTCCGAATCGTGCTCCCGCTGCAGCGCTGGCCTCATTTCCGTGCTTCCGCTCGTTCCGAATCGTGCTCCCGCTGCAGCGCTGGCCTTATTTCCGCGCTTCCGCTCGTTTCGACTCGTGCTCCCGCTGCAGCGCTGGCGTCATTTCCCGTGCCATGCCACGGCATGCGATGCAATGCTAGGTTGATACTACGCTTTGCGGTGCTCTTCTACGCCATGCCATGCCGTGCTCTACAATGCATCGCGTACCCTTTCGGGATCATTGCCCTGCTCGACATCCGACTGTGCGAGTAGAGAGGGGATCTGCGCCATGGTAAGGGATGGGAGGGAAGGGTTGGATGTCAGATACGACGCGAGCGCATCTAGCTTGCCTCCGCCCCCTTCCGCCCCCTCCGCTCGCAGGTGGTCCCTCGCCCCCCCGGGCCCCGTCGGAGGCCTCCGCGAGAGAGGCCGAGCGGGTCGGCAGCGGCCGCTTTGGCCTTTTGAGGAGACGTCCCCCTGGAAGAAGAAGAAAGAACGCCATGAACACGAAGGCGTCGTTAAACCATCAGGGCGGGAGGTTCTTGGGCGGTTTCGGCCCCTGGGAGTCCTCGCCGGGCCTCGGGACCGTCAAAAAACGATTCGGGACGAAAAGTCGGGGCTTAATCAGGGCGTCGCATGTCTGGGGCAGGGGGCCAGCGCCAAAAAACGAAAGAATCGTCATAGACATGAACGTTTGGCAGTTGGGGGGGGTGGAAGGGGGCCGTGCCACGAGCCAGGGTGCGGCGTCGGAGGGAAGGCCGGACGGGGCGAGGACGAGGATCATCGAAGAGAAAAACGCCATCAACCATTCGGAGACCCTCCCCGAACTGACCTCGATCTTCTACCTCGGTCGGACTGCATTCAGACAAGAAAAAGACAGAAACAACCAACTTTGGGCGCTCCGCGCGGATTTTTTGCATCCGCGCTGGGCCCCCCCTGGTGGCGCCTCCGGCGCCGCCACTGGCGCGCGGAGCGCGCCAGGGAGGGGGGTCCAGCGCGGATCCAAGAAACCCGCGCGTGCGGGCCGGCGACACTGCATATATAGCACCCCGCAGAACCGGATAAGAGTGAGGGGGCGGGAAAGCCCGCCGCAGGCGCCAAAATTTCAAATTATACATCGAGCCCGCCGCAGGCGCCGATTCTTTCTTTTTCGTTAAACCAATGTGGATAGAACGCGGGTGTGTCGCAAATGAGTCGCAATGTCGCGAGTGGGTCGCAAGTGGGTCGCGGGTGGGTCGCGGGTGGGTGGCGGATGGGTCGCGGGTGGTTCCTGGGGTGGGTTGCGGGTGGGTCGCAAGTGGGTCGCGGGTGGGTCGCGGGTGGGTCGCGGGTGGGTCGCGGGGTTGGTGGCGGGTGGGTCGCGGGTGGGTCGCGGGTGGGTCGCGGGGTGGGTCGCGGGGTGGGTCGCGGGGCGCATCGCGTGTGGGTCGCGGGGTGGGTCGCGGGGTGGGTCGCAGGGCGCATCGCGGGTGGGTCGGCGGTGGGGACGACGACAACAAACAACAACAACAAACAAACAGACAAACAATCAAACAAACACACAAACAAACAATCAATCAAACAAACAAACAAACAACAGCAACAACCATTTTAAGATTGGCTGCTTTTATCTGCTCGCGTGTCATTCAACATGCATAATCCAGTCCCTGGATACCCGCCCTCTTCGTCTTCGATCGTGCCGCCTTTTGGGGGGGTGAAGCCCTTGAAAAAGAAGGGTATCAGATATCGGGGGAGAATGAGGACGAAGGGATCGGAGGAAGGGAGGGGAATAGCAAGATGGAGGGAGGACGATTTGCGCTGCGAGTAGCGATTCAGCTTGCGCCATGGATTGCGCCAGCCACTCAAGCACAGGTTAACAATAAGTTCCGCCATGGGTCGCGCCATAGACAATGCCACGTACCACTCCTTTGGAAGAACATATCGTGGATACCCCCACGGGGGGACGTACAGCTGCGAACTGGTGTCAAAAACAAATTTCGTGGAACCCTGAAGAGAAGCCGGATGTTGGGAGAGTACGGCGGAAGGATCGTGAGAATTGCAACCGTGTCGAGAGGAGCGCGGGATCCTCAAGTGAGAGCGCGATTCTTCAATAAATTGTGGGGAAGTATCAAGCGGGAGCCGCGATCCAGTGATAAATTGCAAGGGGATCCCGAGCGAGAGCGTGATTCTTTGATACATTGCGAGGAAGTATCAGGCGAGAGCCGCTGTTGTTGTAAACCGGGGGCCAACAACGCAGTTTGATCCTCAAGATTTCTCCGGATAAAAAACCGGGTGCGAGCCCCCGGAAGGGCACGTCAATCAACAAAAACAACGTGCACCGGGCGGGGGGGGCCACCACATATGATTCTGCATAAGGGAGAGTTCAACAACAGCACAACAACAACAGGAACAACAACAGCAACAACATCAACGTGAGCAACGCAACGAACATAATCTTCACCACGGTTCCAAACTTACGTCACGCACCCGGGGGCACTGAATGACCGTTTGGTAGTCTGATAGCTCTACCGTGGTGTGTTCGCTGTTGGGGGGAGGCCCAGGTCCCACTCCTTGCAGGGCGCTTTTTGTTCTGCTTCCCGAGTCTCGTGGCGTTCCCGCTCGCCCTCGTCCTCGGGAAGCGGGCGGAAGCCCACTCTATCTTCAGCGCCTTCCTGCTGCGTGTGTCGACCTGCCTCCTCCGACCGGCGGGTATGGTTTTGGGGGAGCGAAGCACGGCCTGAGCGCAAGCCTTCGGAGGTCCGCGCTGATCTCTGGACTCGGCGTTGGGCCCCTTCCTTGGCACGCAGAGCGCGCCAGGGGCGGCGCCGGAGGCGCCGCCGGTCGGGGCGCAACGCCGACCCAAGAAATCGGGTGCCTTTCTTGATTCCTCTACTGGGGGACCAGCCACTCGTGCATGCATGCCTGCCCCTCCTGCCCCCCTGCCTCCTCGGAGTGGGCGGGAGAGTCACTATCTGGCGGGCGGCGGGGATTGCCACATGCGTCCATTTCGCTTTTCGCTCTTCGCCGAAATCTGCCTTGACGCCACGTCGTGACCTGACAGGGCCGCTTACGATATGATTCGATGCGATTCGATTCGCCGGCTGCGGCCGAGCCCATGGTTCGAATATCTCCATGGCCACCGCCTGCCGAGGTCCCCGAAGATCGAGCCCCCGGCTGCGGCCATGGACAAATCCCAGCCTCTCGGATGTCGCGATTCGATCCAGCCCAGGGCTCGCAGCGCTCGCGAGGAACATGCAAAACGTTGTGCCGACTCAGGCGGTGTGGCCTACAATCTTGACTTGGGAGTTTTGGCCTGACACCAGGCTCATTTTCCGCAACGAAGTACTTATCCCGACCCCTGTCGGGGGGAAGAATCTCGCAGGTTGCACGCCGTGTTGTTGGAGGTGCGCGCGCGCCCTTGGCTCAAACGCTAGCGCACCTCGTTTGGCGAGGCTGCAACCCGCCAAACCAAGTGTCTGTTAGCTTGAGATTGGGGCTCGTCTTTCTGCTGAGGAGCGCGGAGCAGAAACGGTTGTGCGTTGGCGCCATTGCGGGCTTAGCAGGCGACGTGGATCGGTTTTAGGGATAACTATTCAGACGTTTTTGTCCGTTGTTTTGCCTCGCGAGAGGCTTCTTGGGAGCGCGCCAGTGCGCGACGTGTGTCGACGCGTGGGCGTTCGCAGGCCTGTGGGGACCAGGGGTCTTATTGTTTGGGGATACCTGTCGTAGTTCTCCTGGGTCTGAAAAAATAATCCCCAAACCGTTGGGGGCACATCAGCTGGGGGATGAGTTCAGACAGTTTGGGAGGTCCCCATCTCGGCGGCTTTCCCCTGGAAGGTTACTGCGCGGGCTGATCTCCCCCCGCTGGATGAGCTTAAGTGTTCATGATATTTGTTCTTCGCCTGTGCGGTAACGGTTCCAAAGTTAGGCGGGCGAGTCCTTGGGCCAAATGTGTTTGTCAGTTGTTTGTAACGCGCGCGCTCCTGCATTGTTTGCTGGGCGAAGCCAATTCGCATTACAAGAGTTCGGCCGCAAAGCCGATGGAGCGTTTTTGCCTTCTTAGTCCAAAACAACCTTACCAGCGGTGGGCGACAAACAACCCTAGACAAGGGGAGGGGTGATAATTTCACCACGCACGTCTGCGTGCAGCAGTCAACGGAGTGACCGAGAGAAAAGGACAGCACACAAGCCCGCGAGGGCGTACATAGAGCACCCAGAGATCCGATGTCTTTATTTGTGCAATGCCGGGTCCGCAGATAACTCGACCCACTCCTCATCGTGAGCTGCGTTTGACGGTCTGGGACCCAGCGAGGGCTTCGCGAAGCCGAGAGCGGGGAACTTCCTCCGTCTTGTTTTTTGCCAATGCGTTAAGTTTCTGGGTGTGCACGCAGCGGGCGGTGGAGGAGGCGATCGCGTCGATCCAGTCCAGGCCTGCCCGACCTCCTTGACCCCCCCTTCCCGGTGTTCGGCGGCGAGCCCAGGGGGGAAGCGAGGGGGAGCAGGCCTGTTTAGAAGGCTCGGAAGGCCTCGGACCTTTGAGCAGTTGTCTAAGCCCCCTCTGAAGACAGAGACGGAGCTCCGCGGCCTCCTGAGAGGGTTCATTCCCACCCCCCTGGGCTCGCCTCCGAGAGGCGATGGAATCGATCCAGCGCAGGCCTGCCCCACCTTGGCCCCTCCCTCCCTGAGGATCTCAGCCACGCGCAGACGCTGGTCGGGGGAGAGGGGAAGGTTGCTTAGAAGCACCCCCGATGCTCAGATGGCGTGGCGGGCCTTCTCTGTAGATGTAAGGCCGGTGCCTGCTGAGAAACAGCCTCCTTCGAAGATGCCTTCTAAGAGGCAACCTTATTCTAAGATGCCTTCTAAGAGGCAACCTCCTTCTGAGAAGCCTTCTAAGAAGCAACCTCCTAATAATGTTTCTAAGAGGTAACCTCCTTTCAAAAGCCTTTTGAGAGGCAACCTCCTAAGAAGCCTTCCCCCCTCCCCTCCTCCCTGTGCGCGCGTCGCCAAGGACCTGCCCAGGAGGTCCGCCCCCTCTGCCTCCTTTCCTCGTACCTCCTCCCCCTCCTCCTCCTCCTCCTCCTCCTCCTCCTCCTCCTCCTCCTCCTCCTCCCTCCTCCTCCTCCTCCTCCTCCTCCTCCCTCCTCCTCCTCCTCCCCTCCCTCCTCCCTCCTCCCCTCCTCCTCCCCCTCCTCCTCCCCCTCCCCCTCCTCCTCCTCCCCCTCCGCCTCCTCCTCCCCATCAGCCTCCCCGCGGGGGCGCGGGCTCTCCCGAGGCCGCTGAGTTGGACGCCGCGGACGAGCGGCAGCGGGCCGAGCGGTACAGGCTGCTCGGGGGGAGGGGACCTCGCGGGGTGGGGTGGGCAGGGCTCGTTTCGATTCCTCCGATTCGATTCGACTCGATTCCGATGGCCTCCGATTCCGATTCGATTCGACCTCGGATTCCGATTCGGATTCCGATTCCTCGACGGAGGCCTGCCGATTTCTGCAGATTTCTGCCGATTCGACTTCTCCCGCCTCGGCTGCCCATTTTCGCCGATCCGACCCACTTCGATCGCTGATCCGACTTGTCGATTCGACTCTGGGGTCTCCTGGGGGGGGGGGCAGAGAGCGGCGCCACTGGGGCCATGCACGGGCACACAGGAGAGTCACGCGAGGGGCACGTTCCTGCCACACCACGCGGGCGGGCGCGTGCCGCCCACGGGCAGGACTCGAAGGAGGGAAAACGCCATCAACGTAAGCTTTTGGCGCTCCGCGCAGATCTCTTGGATGCGCGCTGGGACTCCCTGGCGGCGCCTACGGCGCCGCCCTTGGCGCGCTCCGCGCGCCAGGGAGGGGGGTGCCAGCGCAGATCCAAGAAACTTGCGCGGAGCGCCAACAGTTCATGCTTATGGCGTTTTTCCTCTTCGAGTATAGTACCACCTGCGGGCAACATGGTGCCACCCACGGGCAGTGCCCCCCACACACTGGGAGACTCTTGCCACCTCGGGGGGTCTCGGGGAGTCTGCTTTGCTCGCAGTGCGGTGACAGAGGCCGGGACGAGCAGTGCGAAGTTCACCCCGACCCTTGGAGCAGGGCGCTTGCGCGCGAGTCGAACCCAGCAGAGCGTGCGAGGAACGAGGGAGCGGGACGAGTCGAGCCCAGCGAACCCGCAGGAGCCTTTCTCTCACGAGCGCACAGCCCCCCTTGGAAGGATGCCTGCGCTGGCACTCGGGTTTGGCGTTGGAGCTGGCCGGGAGAGTCCCCAGGCGGCCCACCACTGGTTCCGGCGAGCAAGCGAGGTTCGAGCTTCGCAGTTCGCAGAGACCTTTTGGGCTTATTCTGCCTCCGTGGGCTGTTGTCGGGCCCCGCGGCCGTCAAAAACGGTTCCGAAGTGAAGCATTGCACCGGATGGACCCCAGGAGGGGTGCATAGACCGATTTTGAGCGGAGTTGGCTTCATCCCCTTTCGTGACCGCCTTTGTGGGGTTCCAGCCAGTTCAGACCCCCTGGCCGCCTCCAAGTTTAGCGATGGGTTTTCCTGGGCTCCTGAATTTTGACGGTCAAGTTTTCCTGGGATGTTTGCAGCGGGAAGTCGCGTCAGATTTCAGATGGGGATCTCCTCATGTCCTTGCCGGCCCTGTCGGGCCAACCCGAGTCTCCCGATCCCGAGTCTTGCGTCTCCCCGAGAAGAGACGGGGGCATGCGCCGCCACCTCAGTGGCAATCTCGGGTGGGGATGAGCTCATGGGGGAGGGAGTTTTCGCACGGATGTTCGAACTTTTTATATTTATCGGGGCCTGGGGTGGTTTCTTCATTAGTTTCGCTTCGTCGAGAGCGTTCTAGGGATGCTGGGATCGTCCCGAACTGCCGCCAGAGATGACCCAGAAACCACTGGGCAGTGTTAGGGGGGGGATAGGCTCAGAGGGGGATGCCGTGACCCCCAATCGCCCATATTCGTCGCCGATACTGAAGGGCCCGATGGCCTTCCAACGAAGCCGCCCGTTCCGACAGGGATCGCGTTCCATTCCGGGGTTGAGAAAACCGGGATCAGGCCATTCTCGGGCCCCCCGATCACGCGGTGTTGTGTCCAGCAGTATGTGAGGTGCACAACTTCTGGGGCACAGTCGACGTGGTGCAACCTAAATGGTGCCATGCACGTGTTGGTAGGTATGTGGTGCAATCTAAATGGTGGTGTGGTGTGCAGTCCCTCTGGTGCAGTCCCTCTGGTGCAACATATGTGGTGCACTATATGTTGTTGTTTGATGGCGTGCACGGCGACCCTTGGAATGACGTTTTTTTTTGCACGACCAAGAACCGCAACAACAACAACAACAACAGCAACCCCAACAATCAGCAAGAACCGCCACAACCAACCTCGACCAGCAACACCAAACAACAACATCAACAATCAGAACACCACTAACACCAACAACAGCCAACAGCAACAACAGCCACCAAAAAGCAACAGCGACAACACAAACACCAACAACAACAAACACAACAACTCCACCAACAACCATCATTTTGAGACTGTTCGCTCTTACTTGCACGCGCGTCTTGCATTCCGTATACCCCAACCCTCGATACCCGCCCACTTCGTCTTCGATTGCACCCTCTTTCGGGGGGAATCTCTTCCTTGTCGGCTATTGACTGAAGTGCGAAGAACTCGAGCGAGAGCGCCGTTCCTGAGTTCGGGGGCCTCTCTGGCCCGGGCTCTCGGAATGCCTACGTAGAACTGTCGAACGGGAGCCCTTGTCGCCGTGTCCGGGCCTCCACCAACTTGCTTGAATTACGGGAAAGTCTCGAGCGAGAGCGCCGTTCCTGAGTTCGGGTGCTTTCTTGGCCAGGGGCTCTCGGAGTAAACCGTGGGGAAGTATCGAGCAGGAGCCCTTGTCGTCGTGGCTGGGCCTCCGCCAACTTGCTTGAATTACGAGGAAGTCTCGAGCGAGAGCACCGTTCCTGAGTTCGGGGACATCTCTGGCCAGGGTGTCTCGGGGAAAATTGTGCGGAGGAATCGAGCGGGAGCCCTTGTCGTCGTGGCTGGGCCTCCAAGGGCCCACATGTAGGCTCAAACCAACGCTCAAGCGGGAGCATCGTTTTCAGACGAAATGTAGCCGGCGTCGAGGCGAGAGCGCGCGGAACCGTTTCCAGAGATCAACAATAATCATTCTTCATAACTGAGTACTCAACACCGGCAACAACGCCAAGAACAACACCAACAACGGCAACATCAGCAACACCACCAACACCATTGGCATGAGACGCAACTACTACGATTACTTTTTCAACAGCTACAAGTGCAACTACAACTACAGCTAGAGCTACAACTACAAACACAAACAACTAGAACCAACAGCAGCAGCATCAAGAACAGCAGCACCACCAAGAACAACCATACAAAGACACATGCCCCAAGAGGCGCCCGAGAGGCCCCCATCTGGCTCCAAAAAGTCGCCCCCTCTTTTTCCGTAGCCTTTTTTGCTCAACAAGGTTCAAGTTTCTCTTCAAGAGTTTGCAGTTTCATAAGCTTCTCAGCTTCACAGTCCTTTCACCAATCTTCGACCATGCCTCATGCACCAATGATAGAGAAGTCCAAGCCCGTGATAACAAATGAGGGCAACGAAGCCATCGAAGCCACAGAACGCCAAGCTCTACAAAGTAAAAACGGTGGATGTCTGGTCATGCTTTCCAACCGGTAAAACAACGGCGTCGGAACCGGCAACAAAACGGCGAAACGGAACTGGTAAAAAATCGACCCTGTCGTTTCCAGGGCCCACTAAGATTTAGAGTACTGCGCGCGTAGCCTGCACCAGCTCGCACACCACAGCCTGCACCGAGCACAGAGCTTGCCTGCACCGCGCAGCTCGCACCGCACGGCCTCCCCTCCCCGGATCTTCCTCCTCCTCCTCTTCCTCCTCTCGTCCTCCACCGCAGGGCCTGCAGCACGCAGTCTGCAGCAGGCGGCCTGCATCGCACGGCGCCCGCACCGCAGCTTGCCCCCTCCCCACCCCTCCCGGCAGGGGTGAGCTGGAGAGCGTGCGCTTCGAGGCTCGCGGCGGCCGCCGGCGCGGCTGCGCATCGCGACGACGACGACGACGACGACGACGACGACGACGACGACGACGACGACGACCGCGACGACCGCGACGACCACGACGACCACGACGACCACGACGACCACGACGACGAGCACTACGAGGAGGAGGAGAAACAAAAAGAAGGAGGATGATGGCGGCGGCGGCGGCAGCGTGCACGAAAGTCAGGAGCGGAAGAAAGGCGTAACCGAACTTGATTCTTCGCTGTGCTCGCGAGTACGCCCTGCGCGAACGTTTGTGTCACGAGGCTGGTCATGCACGTGGTTGGGCGCGTAGTTCCTTTGCGGGCTCCCCAAACGGCGGACGTGTCTTCACTCCACGTTTATTGCCCCGCACCCCCCCCCGTGAACGAAAAACAAGCGTTCGGGGAGTGGGGACGATGCCTGCTGCATGAGATTTAGTGCTAATCCTCTGGCGCGTAGCGGTCGTTACCCCTGCCCTTTACCCCCTCTCCCCCCGTTACTGATAATGGTAACGATCGTACGTTTCCAGAGCCCTCCAGCGCGCTCTGAAAGCCTCTCGGAACGCTTTCGGAGCGTTCCGAAACGGTTTGAGAAGGCCGCGGCGTCAAATACATCCTCCAGAGCCGCCAGATCCCAGAGATTGTCGATTTACAGTGGAGGCCCGACCTCAAGAAACCTTCCACAAGAAACCCAACCCTGAGACCCCAGGACGTCCATGGATTTCTATGGTGTGGGAACGTCACGCCTTCCGCAGTAGAGCCATCAAGACCCAAGAAAGCCAGGGCACACTGGAGGCGAGCAGGGTGTTTCCTGGCATGGGCCTCCACTGTATCCTCGCCCGATTTTTGTTCCTCGCCCCGGCTCCGTCATGGCCGCCTGGTCTTCAGGCGGGCTTGTCCCTCCACAGGAGAAACATGCCACAATAGTCAATGAAAAACTCTACAGACGATGTCCTGATTGCTTTTGACTACTCTGTCGTGTCCTTGGCGTATCTAGGGGAACAACAAGTGGCATAAACATAAAAACTCGGAGGTCCGCGCGGATTTCTCGGATCGGCGTTGGGTCCCCCCGGCGGCGCCTCCGGCGCCGCCCCTGTCGCGATCCGCGCGCGCCAAAGAGGGGGGTCCAGCGCCGATCCGAGAAATCCGCGCGGACCTCCGAGTTGTTATCTTTATGTAATTTTTTACCTAACAGCTTTTGCTGATAGGTTTCTAGTGGTGTCAAAAGAGAGCATCTGGACTCCACAGGGGGGTCAGGGCGGGTGCCGGGGAGGAGGGCCGGGAACAGAGCCGGGCTCGTTTTAAGCCAACAGTCACACACTTCGTGCTCTTCGACCTCCCAGAATTCCATTCCCGGGCCACATTTTGAATAACCGGAGCCAACTGTAGGCCACTTCGTGCTCTTCGACTTCCCAGAACTCCATTCCCGGGCCACATTTTGGATGCCCGGAGCCAACTGTAGGCCACTTCGTGCTCTTCGAGTTCCCAGAACTCCATTCCCGGGCCACATTTTGAATGCCCGGAGCCAACTGTAGGCCACTTCGTGCTCTTCGAGTTCCCAGAACTCCATTCCCGGGCCACATTTTGAATGCCCGGAGCCAACTGTAGGCCACTTCGTGCTCTTCGAGTTCCCAGAACTCCATTCCTGGGCATGATTTTGAATGCCCGGAGCCAACTGTAGGCCACTTCGTGTTCTTCGAGTTCCCAGAACTCCATTCCCGGGCCACATTTTGAATGCTGAGGCAGGCTGATGCTGAGGCTGAGGCAGGCTGAGGCTGAGGCAGGCTGAGGCTGAGGCCGAGGCTGAAGGCAGACTGAGGCTGAGGCTGAAGCAGGCTGAGGCTGAGGCTGAGGCAGGCTGAGGCTGAGGCTGAGGCAGGCTGATGCTGAGGCAGGCTGAGGCTGAGGCTGAGGCTGATGCAGGCTGAGGCTGAGGCAGGCTGAGGCTGAGGCCGAGGCTGAAGGCAGACTGAGGCTGAGGCTGAAGCAGGCTGAGGCTGAGGCTGAGGCAGGCTGAGGCTGAGGCAGGCTGATGCTGAGGCAGGCTGAGGCTGAGGCTGAGGCTGATGCAGGCTGAGGCTGAGGCAGGCTGAGGCTGAGGCCGAGGCTGAAGGCAGACTGAGGCTGAGGCTGAAGCAGGCTGAGGCTGAGGCTGAGGCAGGCTGAGGCTGAGGCTGAGGCAGGCTGATGCTGAGGCAGGCTGAGGCTGAGGCTGAGGCTGATGCAGGCTGAGGCTGAGGCAGGCTGAGGCTGAGGCCGAGGCTGAAGGCAGACTGAGGCTGAGGCTGAAGCAGGCTGAGGCTGAGGCTGAGGCAGGCTGAGGCTGAGGCAGGCTGAAGGCTGAGGCTGAGGCAGGCTGAGGCTGAGGCTGTGACTGCGACTGCCGTTGCCACTGCGACTGTCATCGCGAATGCGACTACGACTGCGAGAACAGCAGAATTCTACAACTGGATTATCATCCGAATCTTAAGGGGAATGCTTCCGGATAGCTCCTACACATCGCTGTTAGGCTGCTTTGCCGGGATAATTATGTCACAGGAGAAACATTCCAAAACAGTCCATGAGAAACTCGTCAGGCGATGCTTGGATTGTTTTTGACCATTTTCTCGTGTCCAATTGGCGTACAGTCGGGGCTCTGAAGAAGGAACCCTTTTCGCTGGGGAGGGGCTCCGCGTTCCTTAAGTGTTTCGCAGCTTGCCTCAGGTTTTCCTGATGGGTTTTCATAGGAAATCGAAGTTGATCTTATGGGAAAAAGTGGCCTCGTTCCTTATTTCGGGTTCCTTAGGCCAAGGCCCCGACTGTATCTTTGATCTTTCGCCCAACCCCGACTGTATCTTTGATCTTTCGCCCAACACCTCCCTCTGGCAGGGCGTGCCCGACCCTCCGCCGGGCCCGCGCCCTCGGCCAGGGGAAAACCAGACCCGACCAGGGGAAAACTAGACCCGACCAGAGAAAAACTGGACCCGACCAAGGGAAAAACTAGACAGGACCAAAGGGAAAAACTAGACAGGACCAAAGGAAAAACTAGACCCGACCAAAGGAAAACTAGACCCGACCAGGGGAAAACTAGACCCGATCAGAGGAAAAACGAGACCCGACCACAGGAAAAACCAGACCCGACCACAGGAAAAACTGGACCCGACCACAGGGGAAAACCAGACCCGACCTCCGGAGCCCAGGCCCCGGGCCCCGGGGGGGGGGGGGGGGGCGGGGCCCCCGCAGGCGGTGGGGCGCGCCGCGAGCCGGGGCGCGGCGGCCGGAGGTCCTCATGTCCCGAGAAAGGCCCCCTGTCGGGGGAGCGTAAGACCCGGGTTTGCCAGGACTCGGCTTCGCCATCGTTTTTTGACGACCGCGCTTCGGATTTTGACGAGGAGGAGTTTCGTGGGATGTCTGCAGCGGGAGGCCTCGTCAAAATGCAGGCTCGGCCTCGTCATTTTTTTGACGACCTCGTCGGGGATTTCCGAGTCCCCTGTACCCGGGTCTTACGCCCCCCTGACCCTGGGCTCTTCCTGGGCGCGCTGCGAGCCCCCGGGGCGCTCCGAGACGGCTCCGGTGAAGGGGCCCAGGGACACAAGCAAACATCGGGGGTGGGCAGAGCCCCTAACGGTGACGCGTCGATTCGTGAAGTGTCCGTTTTCGGTTCTCGAGAAGGGCGCCGCGGCCGTCATTTTCCAGGCTTGCGCCCGCCAGGTTTGGGCCTCAGGTCGTTTTCACTTAACCACGTTTTACTAAAGGGAGGTCTGTCCATCCCCGACTGGGCGCGCTGCGAGCCCCCTGGGCGCTCCGAGACGGCTCTGGTGAAGGGGCCCAGGGACAAAACGACGCGGAGATCGGGACAAAATCGGACCGGGACAACTCGAAATCTCTGAGAATCGGCGGGTTTGGAGGATGTATTGGGCGCCGCGGCCGCTCCAGAGCGTTCCGGAACGCTCTGAGAGCGCTCCGGAACGCTCTGAGAGCGCTCCGGAACGGTCTGGAGCGATTTATCCCGATCCTAGCCTTCTTTTAAGGGACACAAATAAATATATACACAGATCACCGAAGGAGCGTGTCCTAAGGCTGCTGGCGGAAAACCGGGGGGGGTCCACCCGACCCCCCCCCCCTCGATAATACCGGGGGGGGGCCGCACGGGGCGAGGACGCGAGCAGCGGCGGAAGCGCCCTGGCGGGCCTATACAGGCCTACCCAGTAAAGTTCTAAGAGCCCTTTGTGGTTCCCACGGCGTGTTCTCAGAACATGCCTGGCTGGGGCTGGAGGGTTTCCCCAAAGGGCTTAGGCGACCCGTCCTCCTCCGCCGCCTCCTCCTCCTCCTCTTCCTCCTCCCTCCTTCTCCTCCATCTCCTCCTCCCCCTCCACCTCCTCCTCCTCCTCCTCCTCATCCTCCTCCTCCTCCCCCTCCTCGGGTCGCCTACGGCCCCGGGGGAAACCGTGCAGCTGGGGCTGTCTTCTTTTATCAGCACATCGGGCTCATGTTTCCTGAACACTGTCTTTGCTCTTAGAGCACTGCTGGGTTCTAAGAACTTTTCGCGGTAGAACTACAGGCATGCCGGGACGGTCAGTCCCTGCTCAAAGGACGGCGAGGGGGGGTCGCACGGGGCGGGGCGAGGACGAGGGCGGGGAAGGCCGCGCGGGGCGAGGGAAGGTCGCCCGGGGCGGGGCGAGAATGGTGAAAAGCCTCCCGCCATGATTTGTTCCATTGCTCGCGGGGGTCTGGGTGTATAGAAGAAGAAACAAAGACGCTATGAATATAAACTTTTGGCGCTCCGCGGAGATTTCTAGGATCTGCGCTGGGCCCCCCCGGCAGCACCTCCGGCGCCGCCTTTAGCGCAGCGCAGATCCCAGAAATCTTCGCGCAGCGGCAGAAATGTATGTTTATTATGTTTTTTCTTTTTCTATCCACCCAGACCCCCGCGAGCAATGGACAAAATTCATGGCGGGAGGTTTTTCTCCATTTTCGGCCTCTTGGCGCCCTTGCCGGGCCTCGGGGCCGTCGACAAAACGACTCGGGACGAAAAACCGATCCCGGGGGGATAAGTCGAGACCTCTGGGGGTCGACGTTGTGAACAAAATCATGACGTTGGGGGTCTGGGCAGAGCGTTCCGGGTCGCTCTCAGAGCGACGCCAGTCGGGGCTCAAGAGGTGGGGGTTAAAATGCAATCGGGGTCAGTCAGCGCGCTGGATCTTGCAGGACCCTGCAGAGCTAGGGGCGCACTGATCCGGGTGTAGGCGCAGGAGCCTGCAGGATTTTGCAGGATCTTGCAGGATCCAGCAAGGCCTGACTGACCCATGTCTGGATTGACCCGGGTCAGTAGATCCCCAGCCAGGAAGCTCTCAGAAGGCCGCGGCGCCCGAGACGGCCTCCAGAGCCACCAGATCTCATAGGTTCTCGATGTAGCCACACCCGAGTTTTGCTCCTCGTCCTGGCTTTTTTGCCTCAGAAGGGGCCCCGAGAAAGTCGGTCCAGAGGGGGGGGGCAGCAGCAAGTCCGCTCAAAAGCGGGCTGTGCGCCCCTCCCAGGATCGAAGCGGACGGGAGTCTCGAGCCGCGCCCGGCCGTGGTTGACGAGGGAGCCCGTGTCTCCCCCCGTTCCTCTTCTAGACCTCCCCGACGGGGTCGGAGCGCATGGGGTCGGAGAGTGGCCCCGATGCGTCGCCGACGACGCGGGTGCATCGCCAGCGCTTCGGCGATGCATCGCCGATGCATCGGCAATGTGGGGCGATCCTCCGACCCCAATTCCCTGCAGTATGGTTTCATCGTGGGCGCAATATGGGCCAATCTTGTTTGAAGTTCATCGATCAGGGCAACCCTTTGTGATAACGGCGGGCGTGAGGGGAAAGGGGGATTGCAACGTCACGATTCGCGCCGGCGCCGTCTGGGCATTCCCAGAAAATTGCTTATTCCCAGACGGCGCCAGCGCGAATCGTGACGTGACCAGGGGGAGGGGAGGGGGGGGTGGCGGGGCCGGTAACGAGCGCTTTCGCGAATGATCAAAAGTTTGTTCTCATCGCTCTGACAGTGGAGGCCCATTCCAAGCAACACCCTGCTTGCCCCTAAGATGCCCTGTGTTTCTTGCTTTTCGATGGCTCTGCTGCGGAAGGCGTGACGCTCCCACACCACCGAAATCCATGGACGTCCTGGGGTCTCAGGGTTGGGTCCCCTGTGGAAGGTCTCTCGTGGACTGGCCCCCACTGCACGAGGGTTTCCCAGAAGCCGCGTCCTTACCTAACACGTTGCGAGCAGAGGCGCGGCGCGGCGGGTGTCGGATGTCCGGGCCGCGCGCGCATGCGCGCGCCCCGCCGCGCCCGACGAGCCCACCGCGGGGCGCAGGCCTCGCGCCGCCCCGAGGGAGGAGGAGGACGAGGAGGAGGAGGAGGACGACGAGGAGGAGGAGAAGGAAGGAGGGGGAAAAGGGAGGAGGAGAAGGAGGAGGGAGGAGGAGAAGGAGGAGGAGGAGGAGGAGGAGAAGGGAGGAGGAAAAGGGAGGAGGAGAAGGGAGGAGGAGCAGGAGGAGGAGTCGGAGGACGGCAACCGCCACGACCACCAGCGCCACGACCACGACCAGCGCCAGCACGACGACCACCGCGACCACCGCCAGCAAGCACCACGACCACGACTGCACGACAGCGCCACGACCACGACCACTGCCACTTCCGACCTGACTGCCAACGCCCCCGTCCGCCCCGCCCCTCCCCTCCCCTCTCCCCGCCCCTGCCGGGCCGCCCTTGCAGCCGCGCGGGCCTTGCGCCCCCCACCCCCTGCCTTTCCGCCTCGCCTCCCCCTCCTTCTTCTCCCTGTAAGTAGTAAAGTATAATTCATGTGGGGCCCCTCGCCGAATGCGGCGGGCGCGAGGGAGCGATCGGATCGACCACTCCGGCCGCCCCAGGGGTCCCGTTCGCGGGTGCAGGTCCCTTCTGTGAGCCCTTGGGGCCGTGGCGGGAGGAGGAAGAGGAGGAGGAGGAGGGAGAGGAGGAGGAGGAGGAGGAGGAGGAGAAAGAGGAGGAGGAGGAGGAGGGAGGAGGAGGAGGAGGAGGAGGAGGAGGAGGAGGAGGGGAGGAGGAGGAGGAGGAGGAGGAGGAGGAGGGAGGAGGAGGAGGGGGAGGGAGGGGGAGGGGAGGGGAGGGGGAGGAGGGGAGGGGGAGGGGGAGGAGGAGGAGGAGGAGGAGGAGGAGGAGGAGGAGGAGGAGGAGTGAGGAGGAGGAGGAGGAGGAGGAGGAGGAGAAGGAGGGAGGAGGAGGAGGAGGGAGGGATGGGGGGGAGGAGGAAGAGGAGGAGGAGGAGGAGGAGGAGGAGGAGGAGAAAGAGGAGGAGGAAGAGGAGAGGAGGAGGAGGAGGAGGAGGAGGAGGAAGAGGAGGAGGAGGAGGAGGAGGAGGAGGGGGAGCGTGCACTTTCCCCCCGCGCGTGGAGGTCGACCGCCACAAGAGCCGCGCGGAAAGCGCCGAGCGGGAGCGCGACATGCACATGGAGGCGGGCCCCCCCCGCGGCTGGGGCAAAGCCAGGGCTCGGCGCTGCCAACGCTCCTGTGCGCACAGGCAGCGCCCCCTCCCAGCCTCTTCCTCCCTCCTCCTCCTTCCCCTCCGCCTCCTTCTCTCCTCCTCCTCCTCCTCCTCCTCGCTTCGTCTCCTGCTCCTCCTCCATCCTCCCTCCTCTCTCCTCCTGCTCCTCCTGCTCCTCCCCTCCCCCTCTTCGTCCTCCTTTTCCTCGTCCTCCTCCTCCTCCTCCTCCTTCTCCTCCTCCTCCTCCTCTTTCTCCTCCTCCTCCTCCTCCTCCTGCTCCTCCTCCTCCTCCTCCCTCCTCTCCCCCCTCCTCCTACTTCCTCCTGCTCCTTCTCCTCCTTGCTCCTCCCTTCTCTCTTCTCTGTCCTCGCTCCTCCTGCCCCCTTCTCCGAGCAGCCCTGGCTGGCCTCGACAAGCCCCCCAGAGTAGTCCGGGGCGGTCTCAGCACTGCGGTGCCGCCCCTGTGGGGGGCTCCGCGCCGTCAGGGTTCTGCCGTGAAGGCCGCCTGTGACCGCCTGTCGATGGGTCTCTAGGCGCCAGCCGCAGCCGCACCGGTTGGCACGGCGGCGGCCCTGAGATCCCCGCGTCGTGAAGCAAAAGCAGTCGTGGCCGGAAGCAAAGTCATAAGTCGGGCCTGTCCCTCTACAGGATGAATATCCCAAAATGGCCAAAAAATAATATGGGGACGATTTTTCTTTTTACCTAACAGCGAAGACTGATAGGTTTCTAGTGGTGTCAAAAGAGAGCATCTTCACGCCCCAGGGGGGTCTGGGCGGGATCCGGACGGGTGCCGGGGACTCTTTTTTCAGCTAACAGTAACGCACTTCGTGGTCTTCGAGTTCCCAGAACTCAATTCCTGGGCATGATCTTGAATGCCCGGAGCCAACTGTCGGCCACTTCGTGGTCTTCGAGTTCCCAGAACTCCATTCCTGGGCATGATTTTGAATGCCCGGAACCAACTGTAGGCCATTTTGTGGTCTTCGAGTTCCCAGAATTCCATTCCTGGACATGATTTTGAATGCCCGGAGCCAATTGTAGGCCACTTCGTGTTCTTCGAGTTCCCTGAACTCCATTCCCGGGCCACATTTTGAATGCTGAGGCAGGCTGATGCTGAGGCTGAGGCAGGCTGAGGCTGAAGCAGGCTGAGGCTGAGGACGAGGCCGACGGCAGACTGAGGCTGAGGTTGAAGCAGGCTGAGGCTGAGGCTGCTGCAGGCTGAGGCTGAGGCTGAGGCAGGCTGATGCTGAGGCAGGCTGAGGCTGAGGCTGAGGCTGCAGGCTGAGGCTGAGGCAGGCTGAGGCTGAGGCCGAGGCTGAAGGCAGACTGAGGCTGAGGCTGAAGCAGGCTGAGGGCTGAGGCTGAGGCTGAGGCAGCTGAGGCTGAGCTGAGGCTGAGGCAGGCTGAGGCTGAGGCGAGGCCGAGGCAGACTGAGGCTGAGGCTGAAGCCTGAGGCTGAGGCAGGCTGAGGCTGAGGCTGAGGCAGGCTGATGCTGAAGCAGGCTGAGGCTGAGGCTGAGGCTGATGAGGCTGAGGCTGAGGCAGGCTGAGGCTGAGGCTGAAGGCAGATTGAGGCTGAGGCTGAAGCCTGCTGAGGCTGAGGCAGAGGCAGGCTGAGGCTGAGGCTTAGGCAGGCTGATGCTGAGGCAGGCTGAGGCTGAGGCGGAGGCTGATGCAGGCTGAGGCTGAGGCAGGCTGAGGCTGAGGCCGAAGCTGAAGGCAGACTGAGGCTGAGGCTGAAGCAGGCTGAGGCTGAGGCTGAGGCTGAGGCAGGCCGATGCTGAGGCAGGCTGAGGCTGAGGCTGAGGCTGAGGCAGGCGGATGCTGAGGCCGATGCTGAAGGCAGACTGATGCTGATGCTGAAGCAGGCTGAGGCTGAGGCTGAGGCAGGCTGAGGCTGAGGCTGAGGCAGGCTGAGGCTGAGGCAGGCTGAGGCTGAGGCTGAGGCTGATACAGGCTGAGGCTGATGCCGAGGCCGAAGGCAGACTGAGGCTGAGGCTGAAGCAGGCTGAGGCTGAGGCAGGCTGAGGCTGAGGCTGAGGCTGAGGCAGGCTGATGCTGAGGGAGGCTGAGGCTGAGGATGAGGCTGATGCAGGCTGAGGCTGAGGCAGGCTGTGAGGCAGGCTGAGGCTGAGGCCGAGGCCGAAGGCAGACTGAGGCTGAGGCTGAAGCAGGCTGAGGCTGAGGCTGAGGCTGAGGCTGAGGCTGAGGCAGGCTGAGGCTGAGGCTGAGGCACGCTGATGCTGAGGCAGGCTGAGGCTGAGGCTGAGGCTGATACAGGCTTAGGCGCTTAGGCTGAGGCAGGCTGAGGCCGAGGCCGAGGCTGAAGGCAGACTGATGCTGAGGCTGAAGCAGGCTGAGGCTGAGGCCGAGGCAGGCTGAGGCTGAGGCTGAGGCAGGCTGAGGCTGAGGCAGGCTGAGGCTGAGGCTGTGACTGCGACTGCCGTTGCTACTGCGACTGTCATCGCGAATGCGACTACGACTGCGAGAACAGCATAATTCTACAACTGGATTATCATCTGAATCTGAAGGGGAATGATTCCAGATATGCTCCTACACATCGCTGTTAGGTTGCTTTGCCGGGATAATATTTTTGATAATGTGTGAGCATTCCTTGAGTATTGTTTATGTTTCGTCCCAATTCCGCCTGTAGGGAGACATGCCCGACCTAAGCAAAGTCCGTATCCAGTCCGTATCCACGGCCTCGCGGGCCGGGCGTTTGGACCGTGACGCCGTGGATACGTGGCGTTTTCCGCTGTTTCGCAGAGCGTCCCTTTGCGATTGGGCATCCACGGGATCGCGGCCTGGGATCCAGACAGCCAGGACGTGGATGTGGATACGTTTGTCGCTCGTGCCTCCAGTTCTCCCAAACGGGGTCCGAGCCGATGAGGGCGAATGATCGCGGCGCGTTCTGGCCCCAGGGTGCTCTCCGGCAGCTGCACCTCGCCGACAGCTCACCAGGTGTGCCCGAGTCGTGCCGAGCGGCCATTGGAGACCCAAGCCATGGACCGCCAGCCAGGCGTCGTCTTCGGGAACCACGAGCCTCTCGCGTCGTCGGCGCTGATGTGCAGGGGGGAGAGGCAGCACACGGAGGAGGGATCGAGGACTGCAGGGAAGTGTCTCTCAAAGTGTGGCCCCGAGCGCCCATGGAACTGACACCGCGGGTGCTTCCCCTCCGTTACGGTAGGTTCGCGCGGCGTTAGCCCGCCGGCGACGCTGGCTAAGGTGTTCGAGGTTGAATTCTGCGACGCGGAAGCACCGATTGACACGGTAACGCCATTGGGCCTGATTGAATTCAACCTTGAACGCGGTTGCGACCCATTCGAGGTTTCGGGATCAACGCGATGTCTAAAATGTTGGCGCGCGCCGACGCCGCGCGAACCTGCCATAACGATCGCCAGAGCACCGTGACCAAAATTGGCGACGGGAGGTTTTTGGCCGTTTGCGGGCCTTCACGGGCCGCGGGAGCGTCGAAGGGCAGTTGAAGAGCAGTCAGTCTCCAGGAAGGGGTCCTGACGTTGGGGTGGCAAGGATGAGAACTACTCACGACGTCGGATGTCTGACGTCGACGACGACTACGTTTACGAGGAGGAGGAGGAGGAGGAGGAGGAGGAGGAGGAGGAGGAGGAGGAGGAGGAGGGGGAGGGGGAGGGGGAGGGGGAAGAGGAGGCCCTGATTGACCTCTGGGGCGCTCCCCGTGGCCCCGACTGAACCCGCGGCGAAGTTCATGCCAGAGCTCACCCCCGGATGTGTCCAGGAGAAGGTTTCGGGGGGATGACTAGGATGTTCAAGAGGGAAAGAAACACATAGACACAATTAATCGTCGATTCCCCCCAAAAATTTGGGAAAATACGGGAAGTGGGGGGGAAGACGTAAACCTTGAAAATATGAGAAAATATTCGGAACCCTTTTATTTGTGTGCATTTATGTGTGTGTCCTTGGGCCCCTTCAGATGTCTGGCGGCTGGAGGGAAAGCCGAGACAGCTGGTCTTTGTTCACGTGTTGGGGCCCCTACTCTGGTCCGGGTCGCACCATGGGGTGGGGGGGTCGAGGTTCGAGGATCATGGTTCAAGGAGGTTGTTTCGGCATCATTTGCCCAGGCCTGATTAAATCAGCCATCCCGCGTTGCGATTTCTCCACACCGCGGATCCCCACGAGTCCCTGGCCGGGGACAGGTTTTCACCATTTGTTCCACGGTTCACAGGCTAGGTAAGGCCCCCCGGAGGCTGCAAACAGTCAAAACCATCCCGTCGTGTTTTTCGCGACGCGAGGATGTCAGGACATTCGGATACACCGCCTTGAAGGTGAAGTTCGGCATAGGCTCTGGTATATCCGTTGTCGAAAACCGGCCGCCCTAGTTAGGCATGCCCCTCATGTATTCCGCTCAAGTCCGTTTAACCTTGCTTAAGTTGGTCTAGTATCGGGGTGAATCCGGATTCAGCATAATAGCCTAGCATTCGGGATAATGGCCAGCATAGTGGCCCAGCATAATAACCTTGAATCGTGATAGCGAATGCCTCCCAGCAATTGCCTGCCGAAGGGCAGGAGGGGCCGAATGGGGGAGGGTCGACAGGCCGCCAAGCGGCACGAGGACAGCCTGAAGCGCAAGCACGAGGAGGCCAGTGCACCTCGCTTGCGCCGCCCTTCGCCCCCACGGTGACAGGGGCAGGGGTGAGGGCCGAGGGTGCGGACGAAGGCCAGACGAGGAGGAGACGGAGATCAGTGATGTTGATGCTGATGCTGTTGATGATGATGATGATGACGATAATGAGGAGGAGGAGGAGGGAGGAGGAGGAGGAGGAGGAGGAGCAGGAGGAGCATGATGATGACAATGATGCTGATGATACTGATGCTAATGGTGATGATGATGATGTTGATGATGATGATGCTGCTGGTGATGACGATGATTAGCATTGTGCTAATGATGTTGCTGATGATGCTGACACTCATGATGCTGCTGCTGATGATGACGACAGTGATGCAAATGCTGCTGATCCAGATGATCATGATGAGGATGAGGATGAGGATGATGCTGATATTCATTGTGATGCTGATCATGATGATATGAAAATAAGAATGATGGTAATGCTGATGATGCTGACGATCCTGCTGCTGATGCTCATTATGATGCTGATGGCGATTATGCTGATGATGATGCTATGCTGATGCTGATGCTGCTGTATATGATGATTATGCTGCTGCTGCTGGGTGTGATGATGATGATGATGATGATGATGATGATGATGATGATGATGATGATAATGATAATGATGGTGATGGTGATCATTATGCTGATGCTTATTATTATGATGATGATGATGATGATGATGATGATGATGATGATGATGATGATGATGATGATGATGCTGATGATGATGATGATGATGATGATGATGATGATGATGATGCTGATGATGATGATGATGATGATGATGATGCTGATGCTGATGATGATGATGATGATGATGATGATGATGATGATGATGATGTGATGATGATGATGATGATGATGATGATGATGATGATGATGATGTGGATGATGATCGTGGTGGTGGTGGTGATGGTGAGAGGAGGAGGAGGAGGAGGAGGAGGAGGAGGAGGAGGAGGAGGAGGAGGAGGAGGAGGAGGAGGAGGAGGAGGAGGAGGATGATGAGGAGAAGGATGAGGATGAGGGAGAGGGAAGTCCAGGCGAGGAGGATCGAGCATGGGTGAAGGCGCGCGGATTAGCGACGGGCCCCGATTCCGTACAGGACCGGTATGGTCCGCCACCAGATCGGGCGGTGTTGGCTTCCGTTTCGGGGGGTCCTCCCCCCGATCCGTGGATTCACCAGCCTCGAACGTATATAATATACCGGGCGTCCAGGTCCCCGGGCCCAGAGGAGCCCACTTTTCCAAAACTCCCCCACCCCCCCCGCACCCGACTTTAGTCCCCGGCGCCGGCGAGCCTATTTGAACGCTCCAGGGCGCTCCCTGCGCCTCGGAAGCCCCCCTTGGCGCCCGCAGAGGGCGCCCAGAGGCCGCCAAGACAGCCCGAGAGCGCACCAAGCCGCCGAAGATGGCCACGTGATGGCCCAAGAGGCCCCCAAGAGGGCTCCACGAGAACCTCCAGGAAGGCCCCAGGAGGCCAGCATTGTCGATGTTCATTGTGTTTTTCGCTGTTTTTTTGCTGTTCGCGTTTTCGGGCTTCCGACACGCCAAGACTACGCAAAAAGCCTCCAACATCGTCCCAAGAGGGCCCAAGAGGCCCCCAAGATGCCCCCAAGAGGCCCCCAAGCCTGCCCAAGAGAGCCCCCAAACGGCCCGAGAGAGGCCCAAGACGGCCCAAGAGGGCTTCACGACGACCCCAAGAGGGACCCAAGAGGGGAAATACGAACCGGCATGTCGAGCTTTCCGCCCCAAGATGCCCCCAAGAGGCCCCCCCAAGAGGCCCAAAAGAGGCCCCCAAAAGAGAACCTAAGCGCGCGCGAAGCGCGCGCGTGAATCCCTAAGATTGGCATCGTGATGAGGAGGTGCCCAGCATATAGGGATAGGGATATGTTCCAGGCTGGTAATGGATGTGGCGCCCGAGCGCCAGATCCACGGATTCGTAATCCATCCTTGTGTGCAACGGCCTTGACATCCTCGCGCCGTGGGGAGATTGACGACGGGATGCCGCCCCGGTCGGCCTAATGACACCCCCGAGGCAGAATGCCCTACGAGATCTCATGGATGAACAATCCCGGAAAGGCTTGTCCAAGAGGGGTTGTCCGGAGGAGTTGTCCGGATCACCGCTGGGTTGTTCAAGAGGTCTTTTGGACAAGCCGACCTGAACCGGACGTCCGGTTCAGGTCGGCGTGTCGTCACTAATCAGATTTGGTTGTGCCGCGGGTTGTTTGGTCTGTTGTTTGTGATTGCATTGTTTGTCCGAAGTAACTTCGTTGATTTTCTGGACAGTTCACGACGGGGGGGGGCTGCCATGGGCCACCGCATCTGGGGGCCGGGCTTCCCTCACCCGCAGGGGATTTGCAACCAGGATATGTGTGTGGGACGTGTGTCAACAGGCAGGGGAGGACACCAGTGAGAAGCCCTTCGATAAGAGGATTCGGAGGCCTGGAAAGCAGTACACAAAAACATTGTTTCAAGAATATCTGGGCGGGGGCGGATGGGAAGCCGTTCGACCACTCTGGATCACAATGCCGCTCAAACACGCAGCCATAAAGAAACCAGGTGGGATCGTATCTGAGGCGACCCAACGAGCAGACATTCTTGCATTACCCAGGCCATAGGGACTCCCAGGCAGCATCATGTGGTGAGGCTCCGGGCTGCGATCCGACTGCCACCCCGGGTAGCCCTGGCTGGCCTCAGCAGGACCCCCGAGTAGTCGGGGCCGCCGAGCACTTCGCAGCGCCCCATGGGGCGCCGATCGATCCGGCCCAACAGCCGCGCAGAAAGCTGGCGTCTATACGGCTCTGTTCGCGATGCCGCCCACTGCGCGAGGAAGTGTGGCGGCCGGGTCGCAGCTCGGGCCTCCCGCGGCCGTCCCGGGCGATCGGGGCACGCCCCGAAAGCCCTCGGCGAGGCGCAGCTGCCGGAACGCACCCCGAGGCACGGGGACCTCCAGGGAAACCTCCCGAGGCCCAACAGGACAGGAAACAGAGACGTTGTTTTGTAGTTGTTGCATGTTTTTGTAGACGGTTTTCCTCTGTTTTTGTTTTTGTGTTCCGGTTCTTGTGCTTCTCCAGGTGTTTTCTTCTATTTGGAGTTGTTCGGTCCCGTTTTTGCTTGTGTCTGAACGGCCCAACAAAGAACGCGCGCCGCTCACCATGGTTCTCCAGAGGTCTGAGCCCATCCGTGCTGGCGCCGCCGGCAGGTCTCCGAGCACCTCGCCCGGACGGACCGGCAGGCCCGGGAGGCGGAGGAGCTGCGGGCCCAGCTGCGGAGGCGGGAGGACCGGCTGGGGCGCCTCCACGGTCAGGAGGGAAGAGGAGGAGGAGGAGGAGGAGGAGGAGGAGGAGGAGGAGGAGGAGGAGGAGGAGGAGGAGGAGGAGGATGTCTAGGCCTCCTAGATTGGTTTAGAGCAGATGTGGACGGAGGATCGCGTCACATCGCTGATGCATCGGCGATGCAGGTCGATGCGGAGCCTGACTTCCTTCACGGCGACGCCGCCGATGCGTCTCCGGCGTCTCCAGTGCATGGCCGATGCATGCCCGATGCAGCGGCGATGCACCGTTGATGTGTCGGCGATGCGGCGAGATCCTCCGACCCTATCTACTCTGACCCCATCCGCTAAGGGAAGAGGAGGTGGGGGGGGGCCAAACGGTGCGGTGACCACACCGTGTGGTGAGTCAGCGGGGATTCGGAGGGACCACGCGGTTGGGACTTGGGCCTTTCTCTTAGGACATCTCGGGCGACCTGGGCCTCCGAGGTCCAAAATTGTGCTGTGGTGCACCGTGCGGTGAGGTGGCCGCGGCGGGGCCACGCCGGGTGCCCTGCTGCTGGGACGCAGCAGTTCCTCACCGCCCACCAAACCGCCCCAACCCAGCCAGAAGGCTTCAATTTGCCCTCCATTTTCAGTGGGGGGGTGATGGGCTTGTTTTCCACCACCACCATAAGTTGGAGGGGGGAAGGAGGTGGAGGATGATGAGGAGGAGGAAGAAGAAGAAGAGGCGGAGGAGGAGGACCCCTTTCCCCTCCTGCTTATGGTCGTGGTGGTGGAAAACAAGTCCACAGGGGGGGGGGGGGTCGGGGAAGATTGATGAGCACACATATGGAACCCGTACCCCCCCCCCCAGCCCGTAATGCGGGTCTTCGGGTTGGGTTGGGGTGGTCTGGCAGGTAGTGAATCCCTGGGGATGCAGATCTGCAGCGGTGCCGGCACGTAGCACCCCGCAGTTGCGCAGAGGATGGCGGGAGCGGCGGCGGGATGGAAGCCGCTGCCCCGCCTCCAAAGTGCCCCCCCCATGCGTTGCCCCCGGGCATCGCCCCCACGCGCTGCACCTGAGCAGTGCCCCCACGTGCTGCCCTCCAGGCCCCCACGGGCTGCCCCCGAGCGTCGCTCAGGTATAGCCAGGACCCTGGTTGAGGGGAGCCGGTTATTTCTTTTACCAGCCTGGGACATATCCCTATCCCTATGTTTGACACCCCCCTCCTCGATGCCGATCTTAAGGATTCCCTCAGTTTTTGAGGGCCTATCCCTGAGATTGTCATCGCTTTTTGCTCGCCCATCTTAGGGATAGGGATACGTTCAAGGCTGGTTGTGATTGGGCCCCGAGATCCAAAGCAGGGATTGGGAGTCACTAGGAGCCAGGTCTGCCGCAGCTGGTGTTTTGCGGGGGGCGGCAGTTCTGGTTGGTGGGCTGGGGCGGGGGCGCCCCGCGGTGCACGTCACAGAACCAGGTCACACTAAGCCCAGTCCTGCCAACGTTATGTCGGGCGTGTCCCCCTACAAGTGGATTTTCGCTGAAAAATGAAAAAATCCCCAACATACTTCAAAAAGGTCAAACAATGCTCAAGAAATAGTTCCCATAATTTTTTTTTGGGTATTTTTTTGTTTTTTTGTATTTTCTTTATTTCGTCGAAAATCCCCCTGTTGTAGGGGGACAGGCCCGACTTACTGCCAACGCCCGAGCCCCCCCCACGTGCTGACCCCAGAGAGGCGGAGCCCTCCATCCAGCAACGCGCGCGCAGGGAAGGATTGAGGCCGTTCGTCTAGGCCTCCCAGATGGGGTCGGAGTAGATGGGGTCGGAGGATATCGCCGCATCGCCGATGCATCAGCGATGCGGCTCGATGTGGAGCCCGATTTTCTCCATGCTGAATTGGCCGATGCGTCGCCGATACATCGGCGATGCATCGCCGATTCATCGCCGATGCATCGCCGATGTATCGGCGATGCGGCGCGATCCTCCGACCCCATCTACTCCGACCCCATCTAGGAGGCCTTTGGTTCGGGCCCGCAAGCTCTGATTACTATCCCCAAGTCTGGCCTGGCCCTCTACAGCAGGAATACTCCAACACAGGATTGAAATAGTCTGGGTACGATGTTTAATGCCCTCTTATTTAAAGGCTGCCGCCTCTGCCGCCGACCCCAAATAAATGCATGTATTGTTTGTGCGTTGCGTCGGTTGAGCCTGGGGATGTCGAGGGGGGGTGGAGGCGAGGTGGGGGGCGAGGTGGGGGGTATCGGTTGTTTTTGGGCGAGAAATCGTGGGGTCGGGGGTCTCAAGAACAGAGCCCAGAGGCCTGGGGATGTCGAGGGCGGGGTGGGGGCGAGGTGGGGGGCGAGGGGGGGGGGGGTATTGGTCGTTTTTGGGCGAGAAATCGTGGGGTCGGGGGTCCAGAACAGAGCTAGAAGCTTGGGGATGTCGAGGGGGGGTGGAGGCCAGGTGGGGGGCGAGGTGGGGGGTATCGGTCGTTTTTGGGTGAGAAATCGTGGGGTCGGGGGTTCCTAGAACAGAGTCTAGAAGCTTGGGGATGTCGATGAGGGGCGGAGGCCAGGTGGGGAGCGAGGTGGGGGGTATCGGTCGTTTTTGGGTGAGAAATCGCGGGGTCGAGGGTTCCTAGAACAGAGTCTAGAAGCTTGGGGATGTCGAGGGGGGGTGGAGGCCAGGTGGGGGCGCGGTGGGGGGGTATCGGTGTTTATGTGCGAGAAATCGAGGGGCGGGGGTTCCTAGAACAGGAGTCAAGAGGCTGGGGATGTTCTCAGGCTGGGGGTGGAGGCGAGGTGGTGGGCGACAGGTGGGGGGTATCGGTCGTTTTTGGGCGAGGAACTCGTGGGGTCGGGGTTCCCAGACCCGAAGAGTCTAGAGGCTTGGGATGTCGTAGGGGGGGTGGAGGCGAGTTGTGGGGGGGTGGAAGGCGAGGTGGGGGGCCGAGGTGGGGGTATCGGTCGTTTTGGGCGAGAAATCGTGGGGGCGGAGGTTCCTAGAACAGAGTCTAGAGGCTTGGGGATGTCGAGGGGGGGTGGAGGCGAGGTGGGGGGCGAGATGGGGGGTATCGGTCGTTTTTGGGCGAGAAATCGTGGGGTCGGGGGTTCCTAGAACAGAGTCTAGAGGCTTGGGGATGTCGAGGGGGGGTGGAGGCGAGGTGGGGGGCGAGATGGGGGGTATCGGTCGTTTTTGGGCGAAAATCGTGGGGTCGGGGGTTCCTATCCAGAGGCTTGGGGATGTCAGGGGGGGTGGAGGCGAGGTGAGCCGAAATTTTGCTTCGGTTTTAAGGGGGGTCCCATGGACTCCAAAGCTTCATGCGCGACCTTGGTGGAGTTGGATCAGTCCGACTCCACGCGGCCAAGTCTTTTCGCGCCCAGGAAGGGCGGGCAAGCAGCGGCGCGCGCAGACGCGGCACTGAACCTTATCGTCGCGACCAAGGTTCAGGAACACAAGAAGCTCTGAGGAGGATGTCGCCGGCGGCGGGTAGCTCCGCGCCGGCAGAAGTAGGAGGAGGATCGGAGCCAGGAGGCTGCGGTCAGCCCCGCGCTTCTCTGGCTCAGGCGGCGTTGGCGCGACTGGCGCGACGGTCCTAGCTGCGGGCAGCACCGCGCAAGGGCGCCTTCAGGCTGCGGGTAGCTGCTGTTTGCGTGGTGGTTTTGGGCAGAGGTCTGAGGCCACACTCCGCTACTTCGAGCTTGAAAGGACTTGGAGGTTTAAGGTGCCTCCTACGTCCTGGGAGGAGTGATCAAATTTGGGTCACCCTGCAGAGTCTCTCGGGGCCTGGGGGGCAAGTTTGTTACTGTGGGTCTTTAGAGCCAGGGGGGGTCCCATTTTGAAATAGCCAGTGTCGCATTGTACGTAGAGATGGTGGCTCACGGACTGGTGAGCCCAAGCTATGCCTTAGCAAAACATGTGGTATTGTTGTGCCATGAAATGACGTGATATGTCAAGGCGTGCTATGTTACACTCGGCTATGTTATGTTATTTTGTGTTCTGCTATGTTTGATTACCGACGTGAGGCTGCACCATCGTCACCGGCGTGGTCAGCATCGGCGTCGTCATTGGCCTTGCCGTCGTCATCGTCAGCATCGTCACCACCATTGCTACTATAATCATCGCGTCAACCGTTGTCGACGTCGCCATAATACCGCGTCCGCCCCAGTCACCGACACGCACTGGGTGCCCGAGCGTCAGCGTGACTGCGCGATGCGCAGGGAAGTGCCCAGCCGTCAGCGCCACCGCGGTCACGTTCGCGCCAATCTAGTTGGCCGCCGTGCTCGCGAGCATGCGCGGGCTAGCGCGGCCGCAGAGATGCACCAACCATCGCCAAGGATTCATGGCAGTCGCCGCCGCATTGGTTTTGCGCGCGCTTAATGGTAGTGGTGGGGGTCAGGCGCCCAGTTTAGGTCTCGAGCGCACGCGCGCGCTTCCAGGATCGTGCTTTCGCCTACCCACTGAAATCCGGCTCTGCGAAGCAGATGCGACACCGCGACAAATCGGAGACGGAACCCGGGACCAGATCTTTCTGCTGTATTTTTCAAGTTCGATCGATCTGTGATGGTCCCAGCGCCCTGAACCGTGCGAACATGCCCCGTGTGATAAAGATGCGACGCTCTGATTTCAGAGCATTGTGCCATGGGCCAAACACGACGTGATTGCAGCACGGTTTGTCAGTTGCCCGTGTTTGTTGGGGTCTGATCTTGGAGTATGGACCGCGTGTTGCTCACCTTCCCCCGTCCTTACGCCCGTCTTCTTCGTCACCTTTCTCCCCCTCCCTTCCCTCGTTCCTCCCCAGACCTCTCCCTCCTCCCCCTCCTCATCCCTTCAGATCCAGCGTTGCGAAACAGTAGCAACATCGGGAGAATTCGCGACCAGAACCCTTGACTTCATCTATCTTCTGCATTTTTCGAGACAGATCGATATGTGATGATCCCGGTGCCCGAAACAATGCGAAAACTCCGGGTGGAAAAAAAAACGACGCCCGCATCCCAGGTCGGCAGCGAGCTGGGGGGGCAAGTGAGTTCTAGAAAGGGGCGGGGTTTCTCAGAAGGCTCGGAAGGCTTCCGGCCTTTGAGGAGTTTTCTGAGCCTTCCCCGAAGACACAAACAGGTTTCCAAAAGGCTGGCAGCCTTCTGAGAAACCTCGCCGCCTTCTGAGAAGGCCTGCTCCTTATCAGTTTCCCCCCTGGGCGCGCCGCCAATCAGGGTTCTCCTTCCCTTCTCATCCCCTCCGTCTCCTACCGTCCCCATCCCCCCCGCTTTCTCTCCGCATTCCGCCCGTCGGCGGATTGCGGAGGAGTTCCCCCGCTGTTTTACCGAAGGTGGTGGACATCGTGCAGGCGGGGGTGAAGGTCAGCCTCAAGATCAGGAACCCCGCCTAGCTCTGCGGCCTCGCTCGCTGCCGTCTTCACGGGTGGCGAGGAGAAGGAGAGGAGGACGGGGAAGAAGGAGGAGGCGGAAGAGAAGACGAGGGCGAGGGGCGAGGAGAGGAGGAGGGGGAGAACGGGGGGGACGAGGGCGAGCAGGGCGAGGAGTAGAACAAGGAGGACGGGGAGGACGCAAGAGCAGAAGACAAGGAGCGAGGTTCGCGGTTGTCTGACTTCTTCGTCGGTTCTCGGCGACTTTTCAGCCTCGGGGTGCTCTCCAGCAGCTGCGCCTCACAGAGAGCGTTCCAGTTCGTGCTCGAATCGTCCCGAACGTCCGCCAGAGACCCGAGCTGTGGCCCGAAAACCAGACGACGAGCTAGAGCCAAAGGAACAAAATGAGGACGGGAGGATGAGGGGAAGAAAGAGGCGGAGGACGAGGATATGACGGCCGTTTGCCTTTGAGGTTCCTCCATTTCCTCCATCCTCGAACTGCTTTCCTCCAAAATTCGTCCATCCTCCTTCTCTCCCTCCTTGCCTCCGGCTCCGCCTCTTCCCCCTGCCCTCCCGCGCGCAAGGGGGGGCTCCCCCCCCCGACTCTCCAAGCTCTACGCTCCCGTCCCGCGGGCAAGGGGCTCCCCCCTCTCTCCTCCCCCGGCACTCCAAGCTCTGGCCTGCTCCGCGCGCAAGGCGCGCGCAAGGGCCCTCTCCCCCACCCACACCTGGCACTCCAAGCTCTGCCCGTCCCGCGCACAAGGGGGGAGTGTGTGCAAGCGGGTGCGCATGTGCATGCGCGCGTACTCATCCAGAGGAGGGAGGATGGAGTGCATTTGGACTGTGTGAGTGCGTGTTGGTGTATGCGTGTGTCCCTTTGTGTGTCTGTGTGTGCCTGTGAGTGCCTTCGTGTGTGAGTGGGTGCGTATGTGTGTGCGCGCGACCTCGTCCAAAGGATGCCATCGGTCAACGGAGGGAGCGCTTGAGCCATGTTGGACGCTCCAATGGGTCCCTGCCCCTCCCGTCCGTGTCCAGATGGAGGGGGTAGGGGGAGGGGTAACCTTCCCCCCCCGAAAAAGGAGGAAGGGGGGAAGATGGATGAGGAAAACCTCTACACCACTCGCGCCCAGAGGGATGGTGGGATTTCGTTGGCAATTTTAGGCGAGGGTGGTGATGATACCCAGCTGCCTGCGGCAAGTCCCGCCACCGTGCCAATCCAGGATGTTCGGCGGCTGTCGTTCGAGGGGGCACCAGAGGCCCATTTCGCAAGGGATTCACAATCTGATAACGATGATGAGGGTGTTGATGGTGGTGATGATGATGATGACGATGATGAGGGTGATGATACATATAATGATGATTGTGGTGGTGATGGTATTGGTGCTGAGGATGATGAGGATGATGGTGGTACTGAGGCTGCTGATGATGATCACGATGGTGAATACCATGATGCTCGTTACGAGTACGATGATGAAGCTGATGCTGGTTCTGATGATAATGATGGTACTGATGATGATGATGATGATGATGATGATGATGATGATGATGATGATGATGATGATGATGGTGATGGTGATGGTGATGGTGATGGTGATGCTGATGATGACGATGACGATGAGTGTGCCAGTTGCGATGGTGACGGTGGTGGTTATGATGCTGATGCTGATGCTGATGCTGATGCTGATGCTGATGCTAATTATGATTATGATTATGATGATGAGGAGGAGGGGGTGGAGGAGGAGGAGGACGAGCAGCAAAAACAGGAGTATGAGTAAGAGTAACACGAGTAGTAATCGAGGCGTTTCAGGGTTTGCAGGAAATTGCCGTTTTTTTCAGGGTGAGGCAGGGTGTTGCGGGGTCTTTGCAGGGTCTTTGCAGGGGGGGACGCTGCTGAGGTAGTGCAGGGTCTTTGCATGGGGGGCTTTGCTGGGTATTTGCAGTTTTTTTGTCATGGTCGTCGCAGGGACTCCGCAGGGGTTGGTGCAGTCGCCTGTCTGCTAAACGGCGGGTGGGGGGGTCCATTGAAAGACTCCAGACACCCTGCCAGGCAGTCTTTGGCATGCTCTCACGCCTCAACGTGCCAAGGCGCGGTGGCGGACTTTAGGGGGAACCCGATTGCCCAGGGGTGGCTCGACGAGTGCGCGGGACGGAAAGAGAGCCTTGAGTGCTGGAGAAGGGTGCTCGCGACCGCGTTGGGGCGCGGGCCGGAAAGGGAAACAGGGAGAGAGAGAGAGCCGCGAGTGCGGGGTGGGCCGTTGAACGTGCAGGACGGAGAGAGAGCTTCGAGTGCAGGGTTGGGGGGGCCGATTCACCCCACGCCGGGCACAGGACGGTTCCA